GTGTCGGCGCGTAAATAAATGATGTCAGCGCTGCACGATCATTAGGTTAACGATAGTCACCATGTCCATATTTGAGCACTCCGTAACGGAAGACGTATGGCGTTCGGAGGGTTTGCCACGGGCAACATGAGCGCGAAGGAGCAGGCGATCGTGGCGCTGTAAAGCAGGTAGTAGGGATGTAGCCAGCGCCTGCTGGCCTGAAACAGAGAGAATATGCTCGCAAAGGGTTAGAGGCGTAAACTGTTAGGATACTGGTTGCGCGAGCGAAGCTGTGATATTATGACTGTGATATTTGCGAACAGGCTAAAACAATAATTGAGTATATAACACTAACGTAATGTTGTAATTTTCACGTCGTCGCTTACGAATGCGGTATGACAGACGATCGTCCGTGTCAACAGCAAGTAATCTAACACCGAAAAATACAAGCAATGCTAAGTCTTCTGTCAGAAAGCAACGTGGTCATTACCAGGTCGGCGAGTATGGGTATCATGATGGAGCCGTGCTGCGTTGCTAGCCGTCTCCGTGAGAGAAGCGGACGAGGCAGGCAGAGAACGAGTACGAGCAGCCACGCAGGTAGAGCATCCACACTCGCAGCTGTGCTCGCCGATCAGACGCGACAGACCAGATTTCGCGCGCGCAAGTAGAAAGAGTCCTTTGTTAGTAATATAAGCAAATCACTGCGTGGATGAGGATGCATCCGATGTTTGAGACTGTGGCGAATTCGATCAGTATTTTGCCGCGTAAACATTGACATCCACGAGAGAAAAATACACAGCTCGTTTCGCCACTTGAATATCTCTTATTGGACGTGAGAGACACGCGGCAGTTTGTAGCATATATATATATATATGTATAATATATATATATATATATATATGTAATATATAGTTATTACTATATAATACAAATTGATGTGATGTACGCGCTATATTTTTCTCAGCAAGCGCCAGTCACGCTAAATTTCACGGTGCCTATGGAAACTTCCGATGAAGTACACGTATGCACAGTGAGGTGTGAGTGCAGTAAGAATGAAGCCACGTTCTAATACCTGAACGCCGTCTGCCAGGCGAAGCGCGCCTCCCATGCGCACACTATGTTCCACGGCATCTACTGTTGATGGTGTCCCACCCATCACAGTGCTCCTCGCCCAGCTGACTCACATCTACATGTGTATGTATGTGTGTATAATATATAATATATATATATATATATAATATATTATATATAATATATATATATATATATATATACATACACACGCGCGAACGCACGCATGCACGCACGGACGGACACATGCACCCCCCCCG